TCCCCCCTCCCCACAGTACCCCACACACCCACACACCCAATCCTCGTCATCCACCCCCTCAGAGACTAATGTTGACATTGGTGGCCTGCACACAAATTTCATGAAAATGTTTTCTCTCTCTGAATACTGATAACGATGAAAAATAAAGTACACGAAGTACAATACAAATAAAGATAGAATGTGAATTGACCCGAGAGACGAAAGAAGTGTCTGTGCAGGGTCGTCACCGAAAAAGAGAGAAAGAAAAAGAGAGAGAGAGGGTACGTGGGTGGCTGAAGAAAGAGAAATGTTTGAATAATTGAATGACACCAAATGCCACTCGTCGATTTCTTAATTCTGAAAGCATTTCACAGAAGCAGCAAATGTCCTTGTAGGTTGCCCAAAAAGTTTAGAGAGCACTGCAAAGGTAGGTAATTGCTTTTCGAGTTAATGACGTAAGATTAATTGATCCCGAATCGGAGATAAAGAATGTATTGTTACGTGGACTGGGGGAAGCCAGGCGAAACGTTATCTATGTATATTGTAGTTTTAGTTAACGTGGATTGAAAAACAGGCAGAAGGCGTGATGTTTTGGGAAGGAGAGGAGGGGCGCGGGGGGAGCGGAAGTGCCCACTCGAGATCGAGTGCGGCCGACCAGAGATGAGGGCACGATGGGAGCGATCAAATTGCAGGAGGAACAGGAGGAACAGGAGGAACAGGAGGAACAGGAGCAATGTACGTAGTTGCACGCTACAGACTGTGTAGCCTGTCAAGCACTTTGTAGGAAGGGACGGAGAAGGTCGGAGGGCTCGGAGGGCTCGGAGGGCTCGGAGAGGACGGAGTCGGGAATAAGGGCCGAATTTTATTTACTTTCCGCGAATCGATCGGGGGTTGCCAACCCCGGGAGAGGCTGGGAGCTACGTGGCCTCGGTCCCGGCCGCTCTACACCGCTCTACACCGCTCTACATTGCTCCAGTGCTAGACATCGCTGCTAGCGGTGCCGATACCACCATAGTGGGACAGCCGAGTAGCAAGTGGCTAGTAGCTGCAGCCCGAACCTGGTCAGACGGCCCCAAAGCTGGAGGTCGCGTGCTTGCATTGCTTCGCTTTGCCTAGCGGTGCTTCACCTTGGACTAAGTACGGATTGCTGTGTGAATATCTACATTGCATCGGGCGTATATTGCCCTGCTCGCTTGCTCAAAGCTTAGCAACTGGCTCCATAATGGCCTGGCGTGCTACCGGGCTTCTCTACTTAGGTGTCCTCTGCTACGCTACGTGTGTGTACTTAACCAGTTGGGATAATACCGTCTGCAAGGCAGCAAGGAGCCCTGCATCAAATGGCTCCAACCGAAGCGCCTCTTGGTCTACCTGGTCTACCGTGCAGCTGGGACAATATACGCTGCTCTTCGGAGAGACGTAATTGCGCTGAGAAATTACCTGAATCAAAGTTCCTCCTAACTTTTCACATGACCACCCTTGTTTCACGTACACGAGACTGGTCCATTCGAATTGGCCAGACACTCGTACGACACGCTGCCTCCAGTTGCCTCCGGTAGCACTCGCTAGAGCGACCTGCGCTGCTCCCGTCATTCCAGACGACCGCATTCCGAATGTTCTGCAGGAATTCTTAGTGGTTAGTTAGGCTAAGCCGGGCTTCCAGAATATCGGTCAGTGTATCCTAACCCTTTGCCACATGTGCACACACAGGTGCGGCCTGTCTGTCCTGCCTGTCCTGTCTGTCCTCTCTGCGCGACGCGTAAAGGGAGGAAGAGAGAGAGAGAGAGAGAGAGAGAGAGAGAGAGCTGCGACTGAACCGACGGACAGAATAATCAAGAGCCAGGATCGAGCGTGGTGCGAAACACGCTGGAGTCCTGATGCAGCAGCGAGCGTCCTGTGTGTAAACGGGACACGCACGGCCGAGGCTCCAGGCGAATTGCTGGAGCGCCCTTACCTATCCTTATTATCTCATCAATTTCTTTGTTATGACAATCGAGTGACAACGAGCCCATCAAAACGCTTCCCAGTATGGCTGACGTCAGCAGCGCACTGCGGTATTCGCATCTACGAGACGCACACAGTGGCGACTATTTAACGAGACGTCGAAGGCACTAAAGGGAAGCACGAGGAAGCGAGGCCGGGCTAAACGCTCCTGCGAACCAACGTGTGGACGGTCCTTCCAATGGTAGCTTCAAAGGTCGGCCCGTGGCCATCCTCCGCTGGACCTGAGCTGCCCTGGACTTATGGCTGATTTTCAATCTGCGAGATCGATCGCTCGTCCGATTATTCGCCTAAGGTAGCAGGTAGCCAAAGGTCGACAGCTTCCGCGCGCTTCCGGAAGTTCCCTCGCAGTGCAACCAGGACGCAATCCGCGTCTTCATATTGGAGTTCCGGAGTGTTTGCTTCGGGCTCGTTTGCATGAACGTTAATCCTCGAGGAGGCCAACGGCGACCCGGGTCGCGCTGCATGCACGTGTCACGTTAAGGCTCACCCATAAGGCGCGACTACATCGCCTGCGACGTTCATAACGAACGCGAGCAATAAGTCGGGTTACTGTATCTTCAGTAAATTCGCCGAGAATTTCCCGATTACAATGAAAATCACAAGAGAAGAAGCGTCAGTGAAGCATCGAGCGGTGCAATCCTTTTCGATAAGACTACAAGTGGTGCGAAGACGTTTCTTCCAGCGCAAAGTTATGTAAGCAACGACGGAATAAAAGAAGAATCAACAAGCAGAAATTTCCAAGAATCTAGCAAAGTATCTTAGCGAGAGAGAGAGAGAGAGTGGGAGGATTCTCTTCCGGCTTCTTTTACCCGCTTTTGTTGCAGCTGTAGAAAAGGACACTCTTATTTATTTCTCTTTGCATCATCTTCTTTCTTTTGCTTCATCTTTTTTCTCTTCGCTCGCCGTCCCAAGTACAACGGAGACGGTTCTATGTCGTCGACAATCTATTGGCGAGGCTGCCGTCTGACTGCAGGCAGGGCCGTACCTAGTGCACGTGGCACGTGGCACGTGGCCCATGGCTCGCTTCTACCTGCTACGAGTGGCCACAAGTTTCGACCGTCGGCTGCATTATGCAATGCGATGCAATGCGATGCAATGCGATGCAAAACTGCGAAACTACAAACCACTCGGCTCAGGCTCAAAGTTTTCAGGCTGACCTACGTATTTGTACCGAGTGAGCTCATTCTTTGCCAAGTGCAGACTATAGAGTAAGAGACAAGTAGAGAGTCGCGAGTGAAGGTAACGAAGAAGACGCAACGAAAAAGGCTCAAAGAAACGTCCCTTCGAGCTTCCCTTGTCTTTTTTGTGTCACTCGAAACTCAAGAACCAAACCAAATCGAAGATAAACCAGCCCTTTTTCCTAATAATCTTGGAAATTGGGGAGAAACACCCCTACCACAGTCCTCCTAGCGGGGCATTTACGGCAAGAAAACGGCTTTTCTATTATGCTTCTGGCAAAAGAGGGAAAATATTTGTATCCCTCAAGCATCGATAACGTTTACGCGGCGAACTCAAAATCGGCCTTTTTATGCCATCGCTTGCTGGACGACTTGGATCTACAAATAGAATCCAGCAAGTTCTGCCTGAGAGATACTTCAAGGCAAAGAGGATAGCCAGGATAGCCAGGATAGCCAGGATAGCCAGGATAGCCAGGATAGCCGTGGAGATTCCAGTGGAAATAGTTTAGCTAATAAAATCCCTTAGAGTCCGATCGAAAGATCAAAAGAAATAATCTTGCAATTCTCCATTCTGCAATTCAACACCATTTGTCCTCAATTGTTCCTAATACTTATCTTTTGACCTAAAAAGAAAAGTAGTCGTGCGTTGACACACCTGAGAATTGAATAACCTGCTCTTTATAGCTGAACAATTTGTCAGAGGGAGACGCATGCGTGTCGAGTAGCACCAATAATTCCATCTCAGATTCTTCGAGCCTCGTTAACGTGCCGTTTAACCGTATTCGAGAAGATTGTTTTAATAATTCACTTTGCCAAGAAACTTTCCAGCGAAGTTGCAGCGTAACCGAAATTGTCAGGAGGTCGCGCCGCCACCGGCGAATGTGTAATATAGGTCGGGCGTTACT